ATAAGTCTATTCTGATTTTTTATGTGTATTTAATTGCAATGCAGTCATCTTACAGCCAATTTATGTGGTACTTTTTATACATGGTCTGAATTTTACAGAGTAAAAAAAATGTTTGTATGGTATTTATTAAAATTATTAGATATCAGTAAGCCAAAGATTTTTATTTAAGTATACTTATTACATCGTCGTGACTTTTTTTTAGTTGACTTCTGGAAAATACATTACACTATCCGCTCAAGTTATGAAAAAATTTACTTTTCTGCTTTTATTATGCTTGTGTAAGTATGTTAAATTATTTTTTACTTTTTCTGACATTTTTATTACAAAAAACGAGCTTTTTCCTTACATTTCTTTTATTAGTGGCATACTTCACTTATACAATTTTCAAGTACGTAAAAAAACCATGCAAATAAATACTTCATAAATCGAAAGACTGTGAGCACAGTATACTAAATAATAGGCGATTTTTGGCGCCTGTTTGGTACACTAACACACCAAAGTATACCAGAGTGTACACTCTGGTACACTTTGGTATATGTACCAAACAATCGCCAAAAATCGCATAATATCATTAGAAGTTTAAGTTTAATATGTACTACTGTGAAAGAAATTAACGTACCTGAAATAGAACAAAAGTCGTCAAAATACCAACAAGTATGATCAACTGAATTCGAACGAGTTTAGACTGTTGATATGGCCAAAGTCCAACTAGGAGTAATAAAACCCGGTTCAGGCTGATTTGCAAAGAGTTGATAAGGATCCTTTCTTTATGAGCATTGGTATACATTTGATAGACAAGTATTTGCTTCGCTTCGTGTGCTTCAATTGACTTATCTCGTATTACAGCGATGTTTCTTTTTATTTGAATTTTGAGCTGAAATACCTAGGTTAACTTAAATGCAGAATGAATAAAAAATCCTTGTGAGACCGACACACTTGGCAAATTGCATCTTTATTGAAGAAGAGGTGTATAGTTAAGAGATCGATTCAATTATGTCAATAATGAAAGAAGTGCTTATTTTCTACAAAGAAATATTTCGTGAAGGGACTTTAACGACACTGGACTGCGCAAGTGCAGTTCGATCCTTTTCAGTACTACCTGTTTTCCTCATTCTAGTGTGCGCTGTCTTATGTTATGTTTGATACTTCAAAAAAGGTACCTATTGCTCAGCTTGAAACGTCATTGTAACTATTATTATTAATATACATTGCAAATATTAGTGTAATTTCTTTAGGTAATACTTTTGTGTTCTGAATTTTGTTTCCTAAATTCTTGTATCTTTACTTTTTGTTAATTAAACTTGTATCTGCATGATTATCAACCCATTATTTATTTGCAAATAATGTAGTCGTGATATCACTATTGAACTCAATCTTAGTAAACATAGATCACTAAGTTCTCGTGTTAGCTATTTTAATAAGTTATCTATTAAATGTAATGTAACACGAAATATTAAAAAATACTCAATGTCTAGAAATATTAAAAAATTTAAAAATACAATAGTAATACTGCTTTAAAAAAATTTTGGTAATACATTTTCACTCATCGACATCTTTAAAATATTATCACCCAATGTCAGTAAATCAGTTATTTAGTAAAATACTTTAAATACAATACACTATTAACTTTAACATTTGTAGTAATCAGTGCTATCAGATTAAGATATTAATTTCCTCTGTATTTGGTTAAAAGTTTTTTTCGTCAAGATGATCTTATTAGATATATCTAAAACACATATTCAAACTTGATTTTAATTAATTAAAGTAAATAATTCTAGAATATAGTCAGCATTACATACTATTAATTTTGATATGTATAATAAAGAACGGTAAAATAAAATATGATGTAATAAAATATTAGAAACGCTCTTTATCTTTAATAAATTTTAAAAGTTTTAAAAGTTTGTTGGTAGACATATCTCGTAGAAAGCATAATATATTTTTTATTGTGACATCGCTTTGTAGATATCTTATAAATATTCTGAGATCTAGGTTAAAAACTTATATTTTTCTTTGCGACAGAACCAACAGCAGTATATTTAAAGATGTATCGCCTTATTCAAATAAAATATTTATATTTTTGTAAATATTACAATCAATAAAGGTAATAAAAGAAAATGTTATTTCCTTATTTGATTAGCAAATTGTTAATTTAAAATGATCACTTTCTGATGTATAATAAATATATAAATATGATGTAAATTCATTGTAATCAAACCTGTGTAAATCTAGTTCGATATAAGTAGCAGTGTAATACTAGTTATAAAGTAACAGATGTGTATTACTATGTTGTTAACATTTAGAGCGGCTATAAAATTTTCGAGAAAATAAATTGTTATAGTTAATTATACATATATTTATTGGTTTATATTGGTATTGTTCCACAATTAAAATGTGAAGTAGTATAATAGTACAATAAAGAATATCAAATATAATATTGAATTTATCTATTGGAAATATGATACAGCTTGTCAGAATATCATAATTATCTGAAATTGAAAGAGATTGATGATAGAGTCATAAATTAAAGATGAAAGATCCAATTAATACTAAGACACTTGATTTTGATGCAGATCTTTACGCCGCAGACATGTGTTTAACCTGTTTGACTATAAAAAAAGTCGGCAATGATTTATATGTATATTTCTTTTTCTGGATTGAAATAATTTAATAATTTTGTAAGCTCATCAATTATTTAATATAGCATACATAAAAAACAAAATAATAGAAAATGTTTCACTGAAAAATTAATAGTTTACCCCGAGAAGTGGTTGATAATTAAACGATTAATGTAGTACGAAAAATTAAATGAATTTAATGTTTGAATCAGAATACATACTTGCGTATAAAATTTCTGTCAGAGTTGTGCAGACGTTCAATAATTTTTAGTAATATAATTATGTTTTATTTGTTTTACATTTCGTGAACTTGTAACTTACATCTGACCATTTATTTAAAGAAATGATAATCGGTTAACCATACATATAAATGTATCAATTATTAATTTATTATTAAGAATACTCTTAAAAGTCGCCAGCAGTAATTAACAACATCAATGATTTTTATTGACCGTATCTGGCAATTAAAATTCTTATTGCGAAAAATATTACCCCAACCAGGATTCGAACCTGGGACCTCCCTCAATCCGTGCGGGCGTCTTAACCAGCTCGACCACTGGGGCTGTAGGTAATATTGTTCGCAATAACATATATTAGTTAAGATGTTGTTTACGCGTCTATTTCGACTTTTTCGGATCGCGGATTTCAAATCGCGTTTCGACAGTTCAGTGTATGGTCGACAACCCGTATCGACGCACTGTTCCGAAAAAGTCGAAATAGACGCGTAAACAACATCTTAACTAATATATGTTATT